CCCTCCAGCCTGGGACCCTCTTCTCAGATTCCCGGCAGGGGCCCTGTGGCTCCCACTCATGCTAGGGTGCACGTGCACCCCCTGGGGATCCTGGCTGGGCCCTGGGAGAGTTCCTGTTCTGCCCAGGACACCTGTAAAAAGCCCAGACTGCTCCCCTCTCCCCCCTCCACTCCCACCCACTCAGCTCCCAAATCGAACCGGGTGGCGACGCAATCAGTGTCTGCTATTCTGTGGCTTATGGTTCCACGTAGATGAAAATTCCACACCCCACCCAGACGAGCTCGACGAGGCCACCGGAGGTGGGACACGCCAGCAGGCGGGTGCTGGCCACTACAGCCACACACAGACCACGCAGACCCAGACCGGCAGAGTGCCGGGCCTGCACCAGACACGCGTGCAGAGGGCCGCAGGCACAGCTGGGCCACCACGCCGGGCCACCCATGGCTCCTCCTCCTCCTCTGAGAGGTGTGCCCTGAGCAGCCTGGCCACAGCAGCCAGGAGACTGCCCACAGCGCCATTCGCAGGCTGTGGTGAAAGTCTGTGCTGCCTCTGGACACCAGTCCTGGAGGGCCAGCCTGGCGCCCACTGACCACCCCACCGGGGCCCGTGCACGGCCGCTACTCAGGGCAGGTGGGCCGCCTGTGCAGAAACGCCCCTCAACTGTGTGATGGTGGGGTGACCCTCTATACCCTCCTGCACACTCCACCCACCCGCCAGAGCCCCTGGCACACACAGGGCAGGGGCAGGAGCACCCACGAAAGCCCCGGACCTGGGCAGGGAGGGTGCACGTCCCTGGGACAAGCCAGAGTCACCACCACCGGGTCCCAAGGGGTGGATTAAACAGAGGAGCCTCAGCCACTGCCCACAGGAGGAAGGAACCAGCTGAACCACAGTGGAGCGTGTGTGTGTGTGTGTGTGTGGAGGGGGGCTTCCCAGCCTGGGGGCGAGGCAGAGAGAGGTGTCCCGCACCCCTCCAGGCCCCTGGGAGCTCACCTGTGAGGATGGCCACGCTGTCAAAGCAGCCGTCCAGCTTACTGAGCAGGATGGAGAGGAAGCTGTCTGCGGCCAGCACGCTGGCGTCCCGGGTGCTCTGGTCATAGACGACCACATGCTGCGGCTCCTCGGCCTCCACCTGAGGGCCAGGAGGGGAGGGCACAGGTCAAGGCACCTCCAGACAGGGGCTCAGGTGACCGGATGGAGGGGTTGCTGGCACCCTGATGCCTTGACCGGAGGGCAGGCACCCAACCACCCACCTTATACCCAAACAGGTGTAAACGCCCCTGGCCACACAGCCAGGCCCTCAGAGCAGGCAGAGATGGGGGGCGCTGGTCCCCAGTGCAGCCACCTATGAGAGTGAAGGGAAGCATGCTTATGGGTGTCCACTGTGGGCCAGGCCCACGTGGAAGAGACACAAGCGAATGTGACAGGTCTCTAGCAGGCCCACGCAGGGCCCACGGTAACAGGACCGCACAGCCACGGCCTGGGCTGGCTCCCACGCTGGCCAAGGAAAGGGAAACCCGTCCTCAGCGTCCCCGGGAGGCATACTTTGGGGATTTGAAGGCAGGGTACCTTTGAGTCTGGGTTCTCTCCCTGCACCTCAGCCAGCTAAGGGAAACTGAGGGCTGCAGCAGGAGCCCCCCCAGTTCAGGAGGCAGCCGCTGGAGGCTCGGCTCCACCTGCCCTCCTTCCCCTCCAAGTGCCCAGCCTGGGGGCCAGATGTTCAGCGGCTTTTGCTCAGATGGCGGCTGATGCCTTCCTCCCCCCAACGCTCAATGCTTAAGCCAGCTGAGCCACCAACCCTGGCCTGATGATGTCACCAGCAGCCAATGGGATCGAGCCCTGGTGGGGAGTCCTCACTGGGGGTGATTAATGACCGGATTCCCCTCATGGAGGCTGCAGGGAGCTGTTCTGCCTGTGGGGAGGGGGGCTCCCGACAGGCGGCCACCGTCTCACCTGGGTCCTCTCACAACCAGCTCTGCTTGTGGCCTATGACCAAGACCCCCCACAACCTGCAGGTTGCTGGACATGTCACCCCCCCCCCATTGGAGGTGCCACTGTCTTCCCAGGGCTCTGGCCCAGTTGTCCCTCCCCAGCTGGACTTGATGCTGTTGGGACAGACAGGACTGTCCACTGCAGATGACCCGAGATATTCTTAGGGGTCACAGAGAGAATTCTGGGTGACTTGAGAGGGGAAAGAACCAGGAGGCTGGGGACACGGACTGCTCATTGTAAGCTCCTTGGCCACCCTCCTGTCCTCTTCTGAGTCCTCACAGCCACCAGAGTATGTGCCTGACCCGCCGCCATCCTGGCCCACTGCCCATCTGCCACCCTGTGCCCGGTATGGTCACACCCCGCTCATCCACTCGGTGCCCCTCTCTGGAGCTGGTGCTGGGCCTGGGGCCGTGGCCTTGTCCGGTGTGTGCAGAGAGCTCCACGCAGGGCTGAGTGGGGACCCAGCCAGGTCAGAAGACCCTGGGAGGGGTGGAAGCTCCAGGAGGGGGGGCTGCCCTGCAACAGCCAGGTGTGGACTGAATGGCTCTGAGCACTGACCCCGAGGAGCCCGTTTGGGTTCAAGGGCAGAGGTGGGGAGGCTGCCCCAGGCAGGAGCCCCTGCGCACCTGGCTGGATGAGCTCAGCCCTGGCCCTGGGGTGGCGGAGCCTGGGTGGGGAGGCGGGGCGCAGGGGCAGGGCAGGCGCCGTACCTGGCCGCGAGCGGTGGGTTGGATGAGCTCTGCGATGGTCACCTTGCCCTGCTGCAGCCGCCGCTTCACCAGCTTGGAGCAGCAGATGTTCACGGAGCTGAGCACGTGCCAACGGTTGTACTCCACAAAGGAGCGGCTGTCGATGACCAGCGGCCCCCCAGGCCCGCCCCGCAGCAGGCTGGCCAGCTTCCTGGCATCCATCACCTTCCTGGGGAGCCGGTCCCCGGCCATGGTGAGCAGTGGGCAGTGGGTGCCCCTGAAGTGAGCAGGGGCTGCTTCGATGGCCCAGATGTGGCCTAGGGTTTAGAGTGACTAGGCATGGCACCAGACCTGCAGGGAGAGGCAGCCGGTCAACAGCGACCTCGGAGGGGCCAGTGTGCGACCCCAGGACCCAGAACGCCCAGCCCGGGCCTGACATGTGCCCACGGCCCCCCTCCCTCAGGAGAATCAACATCTCTCTGACCCACAGGGTTGGAAGGCTCAGGGTGCTCGGCATGGGCCCGTCCAGCCTACATCATCCAGGTCACAGTGCCAGCCTCAGCAGGACGCAGCAGGGCAAGTGGGGGACCCGAGGGAAGGGGCTCAGGGCTTGGACTGGGTCGCAGAGGGGCAGGACAAGCCCTGAGCATCTGCCCCTGGGCCCTTGGGTCCATGGACACCCCTCATTCCAGAGCACTGCATTCTGCTTCCCGGCTTCTGTTACCCCACCTGCCCTCGCTGTCCCCCCATCTTCCCAATCCCCAGGGCCCCTCGCCGCCAAGCCCCCCCTCCTCAGCACACCCTCCCTCTCTGATCCCGAACAGCCCAATTGCTCCCTAAGCTGGTACTTTGCATGAGTGGAGGGGGCTGGGGGCCGGGCTGCCTCCACAGGCTGACGGGCTCCCGGAGGCGGGCGGCCAGGGCAGGGCGCTGGAAGGGGCTTGGGAGTGTGGGGGGCTCCTCTGCTGCCACTATTGTCCCAGTTCTGCAGGACAAGGCTCAGAGTGGCTGCCTGCTCGCCTTACAGCCTGCGGCCAGTGTCCTCCAGCAGGGTGTCACAGAATGGGGGTGGTGACAGCGGGTGCTCCAGGCAGTGGGGGCCTGGGCCCACCATCTAAGGGCTGGTAGATCCCAGGATAGGGTGGGGTGGGGGGCAACCCCAGGATAAAGGTCAACATGGGTGACCCATATCTGGGACCCTCAGCATGGTCTCTGAAGGCCCTTGGGCCGAGGGGTGCACAGAGGGAGGAAGGGGTTAGGGGACTGCAGAGCCTGGGTGGAAGCCCCTCCTGGGGGTTCAGTACCAAGTCTCTACCACCCTGCCCCACCTGCCAAGCCCTACCTTTCCTGTCTCCATCTAGGACTGGCCTTTCTTGGGGCCCTCACAGCCCCCCCAGAGGTACACAGAGTCAAGATGAGGAGTTTGCTTTAAAGGTGGGGAAATTGAGGCTCACGGAAGGGGTGGGACCAGCCCAAGGTCACACCAAGGAGACTGGACAGAACCCCAGGCCTCCTTCCATCAGTTCTTCCCTCTACCACATCCCCACCCAGCTTGCTGGGGG